AATCTTCAAGAAGGTTTAAACCTATATATGTAAAATTCGTGAAAACTCGGACACCGTAGACGAAACGACAGTAAACCAAGTTTACAATCAACTCAAAATGGACAATACATAAACATTACCATATCGTCTACATACGTAAATCATTTTCCACAATCGAACACATCGTTCTATAGATTACCGTGTTTGATATTTTATCATTGCATTAACAAAATATGTTATTATTTCGTCTCGTACAACTAATCATTATTTCGCTTAGCTCTGAAACTCGGGTGAAAACACAATGCGTGCTGCTCGCTGAAAGTGAATTAATATGTAAAACAACCTCCGAGAGGCTACAGAATGTAATGTGCTACTATTTACACAATCACTGTTAAACTGAGTTTCATTTAAAATGCCGGAACGTTCTAGCTTGTTGTTCATACGTTTTGTTGAATATATTGTAACATTTTCATTTTTCGTAGAGAAACTTTTGAAATTATTTAGTTTTTGGAAACTTTTTTAAATTTACAGTTGATATAAAAATAACTATCAATGTTTTGCAAACTTGTATTGTGGCAGCGCGTTGATGTCTTTTGTTCGCGAGTTTTGGGTGATTGTTTAAACGAATTTTATCAGTTTTAATTAGTTTAATTTCGTGTAAAAAAGGCTGTAAATCGTCAAATTGCGAGTAGTCGTCACATGGAGTCAGAGCGCAGTTGTATCATAGCTGTGGCTGCGACTTTCGCGCGGTCATCGACCCCTTAGAAAGCACCTCGCTTGCTGATCTATTGATTATTAAATAGTTATCGGCTACGGCTATTTGTTTGTCTATCCTCTTTCAGTAAATAGATGGGGGATGAAATTACTGGTATATTTGTTAAAAAAACTCACAAAATACTCATTAAATCATCATGTAAAAGGTGCTTTACTACTTGTAAAAGATAATAATAACCGTCGGCGTTAATTTATCTTAGATTTAAGTTGTATATACGAACATAAAGTCTCCATACAGACTCATCACTTATTTCAATTTTATTCAGAAAATTGATTTTGTAACAATAATGCATTACTTCTAGAAGAACCGCTTAAAATTCAGGACGATTAACGACAAATAGGGTCGTAATCAAATTTTTATACATAAATCATGTTACGTATGAATCATAATTATGTGAATCAGCAGATCCGTATAAGTAAGCATTTCACCCAAATATTATCGAAGAAACTTTGGAAATGCAAGTCATTTTCCACTGGATGACTATCCATCAATGAAGTCTTTGCTTAACCGATGGATATGATGATTAACCAATGTCACGTCTTCGACAATCCCCCTTGACCCACCATGTGGTTATCAAATCTCATTCTTTTACAGTTTAATTAAACAGTTTTTAAATATTTTCTTTGACTTTCGTTTGTATTTCAAAGCGCCTTATTGGTCTTCTTATATTTGACGAAGTGACTTTGATAGTTTGATATTCCTTTTCAGTTTAACGAAAGAGTTTAAATTGGAATTATTTTAAAATTACCTTGTTGGTCTAATTGAAGTTGATGATTTGTTTTTGATATGCTTTCTCAGTTTGATTGAGATCGTTCACTGTCAAGATCTCCTCTGTCGACGCCACTAGGACAAAAACGTGATGATAATGCGTATTACAAAAAGCCTACATCTTGATGTTTTCAAACTGTATCAGCGCAGTGTACGCGATCGATGCCAAATGTCAGTGGCCTTAGCGTCCAACATGGAACGAGGTAAAATCACATACATACACTAACGTATACCTTATTTGGAAAATATAGAATACCACATTTATGTATATTATTGTTGGCAGGATTTTTTATTATTGTATATTAGGTAAACGACCTTTTTACTGTTACAAGTTATTGACGAGGTTACACAAAATATTGTTTATCATCTCTCATCGACTGTTTTATTTTTAGAGCATAGGGTTGTTTGAATGTCGCGGAGAACCTAATGGGTTACCGGGGCTCCGGCTCGACGTGCAGGAGAAGGAACGGGGTGGTTTTTAGTCAGTAAGAGTCTGATACTCCCTCCCGCCTCACTCAGGCGGGAGCAGTCATTGGATGATTTTCCGCCCTCAAAAAAAAGGGTTGTTTGAATCTTTTTGGTTTATAATATTCTTTGAAATAGTGTGAATTCTAGATTATGCTCGGTGTATGGCAACGACTACGACTCTCCTCCTATTACACGAGAATTATAACAAAATCTAAAAAGCTTTCGTGTGAGGTAAAATGACTCCAATATTAATAAATATATTCCAAAAATTCTTAGTCCTTCTTTCTAAGGATACTAAGATTGTCATAATGCTCTAGCTTGGTCTATTACTTTATTACTTGGCGAAGTAACAAATATTTTCACAGTCATGACGTGACATGACGAGGCGAGACGAGAAATGTCTCACATAGCTTATGAATGCCTCACCGGACTACACCTGTGTGACACACACGTCACGCTCGTCTGTAAGGCGTGTCAAAATGTACACAAGACCCTTTTTCGTAGGTACAATCTTTATTCTGATTCTTTAACAGTACTAAAAATTAAGATGTTGATTCTGAACCATGGGTGATTAAAGAATAGATGGTGATGAACGATTTATCTCAATTAATTGGACAGTAACACATAAGTTTCACAGTCAGAGCAAGTGTCTATTAATAATATCACAAATAAGTCAATGTCGTATGTAGACTAAAAAGACGATTGCATCTGGTCAGTGGCATATCGTACCGAAGGTATGACAAAGGCTAAAATAATGATACACAGGCCAATGTGTCCTTGCAAGCACTGACATGTGCCACAACGTTCCTTCTTCTCGCTTCATGTGGCGCCCCCTGGCTTGCCCTTCCAGCACATGCGCACCGTCGGGCGTCCAGTGACATGCGCTCACGCATGTACTTTCGTTTTCGGCGCTTGCGGTCGATTTCACCGGCCGCCGCGCATTAGGTCATCAGGTAACGGTTGTAGCAAGAGGCGTAACTCATGAGAGACAGAGATAGCCTGATAACGAGACAAACTTCTTAACATTTGGTCTTTACCGACTTCAAGATAATGTGTTTGTGTAAATTGCAGCCCAGATTTCAAACATATGCTTGATTGCTTTCTTAAAGTAGACATACCTACAGCTGGTAAAACTATAATATAAAGTAACAATGATTTACGTTAAAAAAAATAAAGATCAGCGATCTAGATTGGATTCGCAATAACATTAAAATTTCATAGGTTTCTTGAAAGCTGTTAATCAAATAACGGCCAATTAGTAATCAATCTGTCTGGACGTAAAGAATATTTTTAGACCCATTCAATCAAATCGAATACCAAATTAATACTCCAAATTCCATCTTGATTTATGGAGTCTAATTTACGAACGACTACAAAAACTATCAATAAATATTATTTCTTAAAAAAACCCGCTAAATTGAGAACTTCTTCTTATTTCAAAGTCGGTTAGCAATTAATAAATTAGTCGTCTGTGTATCGCTCCCGCTTATCAAAGAGGTCGCTGTTTTCCTTTCATTTGGCTCCGACTAATTCTGTGTCAGTGGCGTGAGGTCGCTGGGCGGTGGGAGGAGGGGGAGGGAGGGACGATCACCCATCCATCGGGCAGGAGGAACTAACGGCACTCCGCTGTAGAGCACCATGGGACCCATGGAATGTGGCCGCGCGAGTTATGAGAGGAGATGTTACGAGATACACGATTACATTCTCATTGTTGTTGATTGATTGGTATAAAGAGTTATTTATGGTCGTTATTAGGAATTTTAAAATTAAAATATTGTTTGCGGTATTCTGTTAGGTATTTTGTCGTCCTTAATTGTAGTGTGTTCTAAATAACATCACGTTTTCTTTCAATGGCTATGATTTATTTATAATTTGCGCAATTTGTTTATAATTAGAGGGCAAACAATTATGAAATTATCTTTATCCTAACTTGCATAAACGGTAGCTACAGGACAATTTCCAGATAACTCCTAAAATATATATTTACACTCGATAAATCAAGATAAGGCTCTCAGAAATCATTTAGAGCCTGCACGTAAACAAGTAAGTAGCATAGCATAGCACAATATAGCTTGAAATCGCATCACAGCATTCACAGCACACATTCGCGAGCCGCCGACGATGCGCGTGCGCAGAATGGGAACGATACTAACGGCGCCAGCCATTTTTGTAGATGGCGGCAAAATACCGGGAAATTAGGCTCGTCCCTAATTAAGGATGATAGCCTCGATAGATTTAGAATTAGAATTCTAAACAAGAATGGAGAAAATGGAACGAAAATCGTATTGGTGATTTGTCTTTCTTAAGTGATTTTGATGTAAAAAATTACAGTTTGAATGGCCTTTAGATAATAATTTGTTAAATAAGCGTCCGATTGACCTTGACCTAGTGATCCATTTGAAATGGTGCCATATCTATGTATGTGCCTAATGTGGTATCGTCGATTACCTACGAGATTTTATTTTAGCTCGTTGCTTTCTTTTTACTAAAATTATCTTCCTAGTTAACTCGTCGAGTACCGGTTTTATAGACACAATTAAAGAACAATGGGTCGCGGTCACCGGTGACCGCTTGGTGTTTGACAGTTTAAACCAATATTGGTATTAACACGGTCCTACCAAAGCAAACGTCAGACATCAAACATATTCAGGAATAACTTGCATCCAGTAAATAACTAACCTACTTGAGATAATAAATAAATAAATAACATAACATCACGCCTTTTATCCCCGAAGGGGTAGGCAGAGGTACACATTACAGCACTTAATGCCACTGTACAATGTAACACCCACTTTTCACTATTTATGTTGTGTCTCATATAGTAGGGGGTTCCAGACTCCGTGCTGCTACTGAGATTCTTTTAAAAAAACCCATTAGTACTTTGCCCGACCGAGACCCCATGATCGGCAGTCTAAATAAATAAACTTTAAAAGGATTTACTTTTCACACTTCAACGTACAGCTATGCTACATCATATTTATAACTATAACCACATATTCTTTCACCTCAGGTCTACTAGACACCCTGGACACGCAGATGGAGGCTAAGAACTGCCCGGGCACGTGCATGCACGCGCTAGCAGCGCTGCTGTGTAATGACGTGCTGGAGGAGGTCGAGTGTCCCAGCCCTTCCATGAAGTGCTGTGCTGACGAGAAGAGTAAGAACTGATGTTCCAATATTATGCAGATATCGATCTAGGATTCAAATAAATCCTTCTATTTCAGCTTCAGAGTGGTGCACAAAATGGCCGCGAAGCTTTTAAGCTTAGTATCAAATTGACAAAAATATTGAATAAATTTTTGGAGTACCCAATTCTTTGTTTAACAAATTAATTGTGTAGAAGTAGGCTGTTCATCAAATGCCATTGCCATTGTTATTTAGTGTAACCAAAAATGGTAGTCGCGACACTTCCTTTGGAGTTCCGCATTTATCCATTCTATTTTGCTGTTTTCTAATAAAATATGTCAATGTTCCAGGCAATGAGACCCTGCCGACGACGCAGCGGCCGCGACCGACACGCCACACGACAGTGTCGGACGACGACTACGACGAGCCCACCACGCAGCCGCCACAAGACAAATACAAAAACAGTGGTAATTATTAGGTACACCCTATTAACTATTAGGATTAGAGTTAGACCATAGTTTGTTAACAATTAGGAGTCAAATTATAATTTCTTCAAAATCTTTTGATCTGTGTTTCTTGTCTATAAAATTAAAATCATCTTTATAAATTAAGATTAAACTAGTCTAGTTTAATATAGATTGATGAAAAACTGGTTTATAAGATGTGTGTTGTGACACTAGCCTGCCAATCCAAAAACCCAATTAATACTACCTTATTTTATCTAAGTTTAGTAAATGTACATTAAAAAATGAATTAACTTTTCGCACTCAGCTTCACTTGCACTTAAATCTTCCTTACGTACCTATCGCTCTTCGTCACTGCGTGAACCGTATAAAAATCTTATAACCACTTTTTGAGGTCATTGCAAACAGACGAATCTTTGTTTTTTCATATTAAGGATCGCATAACCTCCTTACATAATGTTCTAAATGTTTTCATTTCCAGGTAATATCGCCTGCCCAGGAGTATGTGTGGAAGCCCGGCTGTCTCAGTACTGCGAGGCGTACCTGAACTCCCCAGACCTGTGTGTCAAGGGCCGGCTGTGCTGCGTCTCCAAGGACAACTACGGAGACAGGCCGCCTCCCGACCTCGTCGTACCCAATGAGAAGAAGTATTCTACTAAGAGACCCACTACTGCGGTAAATGTGACATTGTAACTTAGTCATGTTTGGGATCTTATTATGCTTCCGTAACAATGACGTAGTTTAAGTAGCATTATATCCAGATGTTAAAAGTGGAACATTTTCAGATATTGATTTGGTGAAAACCTTCCTTAAGTTAAGCTAAGTGACATTTAACGAAAGTTTGATTTTCACCCGTCTATAAGTGTAAGTGCCGTCTAACAGTAGAATTAAGGGGTTGGTTTAGTTAAGTTGGTGCTACGTCACGCTAAGTAACTTTTAGTTAAGAGATAGTATAGGGGTGATAGGTGGTAACAGTCATTAGTCACATTTAATGAGTAAAAAAATCTAACAAATTATCCCGAACATCCACAGCTCACAACAACCCCAGCTCCGAAGCAGAGACCCGGCCACAAGTGTCGCGGGGACTGTATATCGGGTCTGTTCTCCTTGCTCTGTGACAACGTGGACGAGGACGCCGTGTGTCCTGGCGAGGGTGTCTGCTGCATCACCGAGAACAAAGCGGTCGAGACCACCACCAGGCGACCGACCACGCCTAGACCTACTACACCTGTAAGTTATTAGAGGTTTTTGAAAATAGAAAATTAAGAATAGTTTGGAGAAGATCTCTTCTTCTCTATTAGTTGAATATTTCGTTCAGTACCTATTTTAGTTGAGTATTTCGTAGTCTTTCGCGTGTATAATGTTTGAGTAGTTCGACAAAGTAGGTATTAAAAACACTATACTTACAGTATAGTGTAGACAATAAATACTTATCTATGTATTTTTTATAAGAAACTACAGAACTACACTCCGGAACCAACGATCCATGATAATCTTAAAACATTAAAAATCAACAAAACTTCTTTCACAGATTTTTACTTTCCTTGTATGGCGTATCCTATTTAATGGCATATTCTTTTTCAACAGCCCCCTCTACCACGGTGTCCGGGACACTGCATGCACAACATTATGGCGGCCTTCTGTAACCCGCCAGCTGTGATCCTGCAGCGCACTGAGTGTAACGCCGAGGGATGGGTGTGCTGTGACAATACCAGGTACTGACACTATTTCGAAAATTCAAGAGGCTTGTACTCATCGTATTCTGAACAGTCGTAGAAAAAGAGGACTGTAATATTGTGCTGATATTTGCTCAAAGTTAATCAAAGCAAAATTGCTCTGATTGTGGACACAAATAGTTAACAGTTTGCAATAGTTTTTTCTGCAAGGGAATTTATATCAAAACCAGTTGTCGACAATAACTTGATTGAACGTAAAACTCTACACCAACAATGGCTCCTTTAAATACACTTTTCTCCCTAACTCCTTGCACTATTCCTTAGAGTGCCACCACGTACGACGCGGCGTCCGACCACGACTACCACGACCACCACCACGACTCCAGCGCCAGCAGACCCTCGGCCCGACTGTCCTGGCTCCTGCATCGTCTCATTACTCTCCTTCACTTGCTTCCGTAAGTATTTCTTAGAAGGCTTCTGTACTTTTTAGAATAGGAATAGAACTTTTACATCCATTAAGGCTTGAAGTCTACTATAATGGTCAACTAATATTTGATCGACACATAAAAAATGATAAATAGTGAAAAATAAAGTGACGGAAAATCTTTTTTCACAGGAAACGCAGAAATGACGGACGTTTTCAAATGCAAGAAGGCAGGCACTCAGTGCTGCGCTCCTAAGTCCAAGGTGCAAGAAGTGGTGGGAGGTCGACCAGCCAATGAGACCGCTCCGTTACCGCTGCCACAACCAGCGACCAATTACCAGCACTACACCACGGCACTTGCGCACACGCATACCACGCCTATTGGTGATTCTCAAAATAACGTTCTAATTAGCCAAATTGAACGTAGGTATTATACTTATTGGTGATAGGGGGGACAAAATTGCTACTAATCAAAATGATATTATATCGCATGATTGGCTACTGATGGGTTCAAAATATGAATTATATTTTGAGTGTTAATTTTATTATATTATCAATACTAACTTTTTGTTAAGAAGTGTAGTGAAAAGTTCTGGTTATATTTGACTTGTTTTATATTACAGCCCCGTATGAACCGAGCTACGGTACAACGTTGTCGTCTACTGAGAAATACAATAAATACGTGTGCGGAGTCAAAGGTAATGAACTACAATCAACTTATTGAGCCTAAATAAATATTTTAAAACAGCTTAAAAGGTCTTTGATAGCATTACAACAATAGATATTCCGGAAAAAGCAACAAAACTTGTGCATTCGTGCATTAATCACACAAATACCATTTCATCACACCACCAGTCATATCAAATCCTAAAATGTGACAGGAACACATGAGGACACTTACGTAGGTTTGTGTGCAACCTAAATTGATCTCAATTACAAAATATTCTGGCATAGTATTAAATACGCCAATCTCTTGAGTCCTTCCAGGCACTACAGCCAGGTCAGGTAGACGAGCAGGCCGCGTGATGGGAGGTGAGGACGGCGAGCGCGGCGAGTGGTGCTGGCAGGTGGCGCTGATCAACTCACTCAACCAGTACCTGTGTGGCGCTGCGCTCATTGGCACGCAGTGGGTGCTTACTGCTGCCCATTGTGTTACCAAGTTAGTATATTGTTGTATCCGACCTTCTTGATAAGAGTCTATGTTCTATCTAAAACACCGTCCAGACCTTGAGTGACGGGCAACGGCAATCTCTAAACTTTCGGTGACCACGCTTGGCACTTGGCAAGCTAGTCCTTATAGAACTCATTTAAAAGAGAGAGATCTTTGGTCAGAGGGAGGTCCGTTGTATATTGTACGAATAAGTCCACACATGTTCGTCTTGTGAATGACAAGTAATTCTGATATAACTCCTACCTTTGTCGTTCACATGACTAATGACTTTGTTAAATGTGCAATATCTTCAATACAGATTAAAAATTCCTGCGCTAATTAGAGACACACTTCATAGTCTAAAATAAAGAAATAAACTACTTATCGCTGATATCACTACTTTCAGCATCGTCCGTTCTGGTGACGCTATCTACGTGCGCGTTGGAGACCACGACCTGACGAGGAAGTATGGGTCTCCTGGCGCCCAGACCCTCAGGGTAGCCACTACGTACATCCACCACAACCACAACAGTCAGACTTTGGACAACGACATCGCACTACTGAAACTACACGGCAAAGCCGAACTTAAAGAAGGTGGGTACTTTGAAAATGTTGTTTTGATTTTTTTTTATAAGAGGAAATTTTAGACAATCTTCAATTTTTAGAGAATTCTTATTTAAGAAGAAAATTAGAAATACTTATATAGAAATTGTAGAAATATTTTATGGTTTTTATTAATCACCAGGAGTTTGTTTGGTGTGTCTGCCGGCGCGAGGAGTGAGCCATGCAGCTGGCAAGCGATGCACTGTCACTGGGTATGGGTACATGGGAGAAAGTAAGTATCTATGACTTTACTTTTATGTAACTAAAACTAGATTTCTAAGAGTATTTAGGGAAATTTATTAGATACTGAACTGTTTGAAATTCATAATATTTAACATAAAATCGCGGACAATTTGACAAGATTGGGCACATTTCAAAATATTTCTAACTCTTACCTTTTTCAGCGGGCCCAATACCTCTCCGCGTCCGTGAGGCCGAGCTCCCAATAGTGAGCGACGCAGAATGCATACGCAAAGTGAACGCAGTCACGGAGAAGATCTTCATACTACCCGCCAGCTCTTTCTGTGCGGGTGGAGAACCAGGCAACGATGCCTGCCAGGTTAGTATGACAGAGGAATGTTAAGTTTCTTGGATTCTATGAAGTCTAGTTCTCAAAATCACCGAAATAGTTGTTTATCAAGATAGCTGTGTTGTTTTCCTGTTTTATTTTCAAAAGTTCTGAAAAGCATAAGGATCTTCAGGATTCCACTTTGACTCGCACCCGTTTTTGACTATGCCCATAATAAGACAGTTTTTTAGTATCAAACAAGGAGGTTTAATCCTCAAATTTCACAGCATTCCTTCTATTCCATTCTGATCACCAGATTTAATTCTATATCTTCATCTATTTCCAGGGTGACGGTGGAGGCCCCTTAGTTTGCCAAGACGACGGTTTCTACGAACTCGTGGGGCTGGTCTCATGGGGCTTCGGATGCGGGAGACAGGACGTCCCAGGCGTCTACGTCAAAGTATCTTCCTTCATCGGCTGGATCAACCAAATCATTTCCGTCAACAACCTATAGTACACCACTGAACAATACTAGGTTTTCTAAATTGAGGTCCAAACGTTATTATTTTGGTTTTATATTGCCAAAATTGATGATTAGGGGCCTTTTTATAAACAATTAAGCTCGATGGATCGTCACCGTACGTAGCTGCGTACGCGCATGGTGTTCAGTCGAAGTGAGTTTTAGGGTAAATAAACTCACTTGATAATGTGTTGGTAAAAAATTAGGGGAATGTTTTAATGAATTTTGGCGACTTAGTCATATAATTTTGACTCAAAATATTTAATAGTTTTGTATTTTTTTAAGAGCCATATTAAAATATGTGCGCTTTTACGATTATGGCAAGACATACTTAAAGTCTATTTTATTTTAGTATTTTCAAAAATTCTGCACAAAATTCGTGAAAATCAATGGATGAACAAAAATTATTTGTATCTTTTAGAAGCATTTCATAGAATTAGTTCGTAACTATAGTAAAATGACTGTATATCTGCATTTAAAATAATATGTATTATTAAATTATAATAACTATTTCTGCACATGGTACGACATCTATCGGCTATGTTGCAATGTAAATATTTAAACACTTTCTTAGTACGTAAGTTATTTATTTATTTTTAGTTTTTATGTTAAATATTTATTTTTACCCACCCATCTCTCAGTCAAGGTAAATTCGAATTTATTTTCCAAAATTGCACCGTCTTTTTTAAGTTATCGTGGTTTTAAGGCTTTCCATTTTAAACACAATTATTAACATCGACAGTTTTGCGAGAAATGGTGTTAATTTAGGTATGATATCGAAGTGGCATTACATTTTTATATCTAACTAGCAAACCGGGTGAAGTCCGTCTCGCCACCAGATGGCTTCGTTTTATGTAACATTCTTGCTATAAACCTCACGGAGCCCGAGATCTTTCAAACGAATGCAATACCGTGGAAATCGGTTCGTGCGTTCTGGAGTTATAGCGTCAGGAAGGTAAACCCGACTTATTTTTATATAATAGATAGGATGGCGTTTAGCCACCGTCTCGCATTAGTTTCTAAATAACGAAAAATTAAATGAAATAATGAATGAAAAAAAAATGAAATAAATAACGAAAAAAAAAATCGTTTATTTTTATAAGTTTAATTTTAACTTATTCACAGAAAAATATTCAAACAGACAATTGGTACTACGTTTTAATGTTATCTAGAAATTTGATCATAAGTATCAGTGCAGTTACAGTTTATTGTGAAATTAAAGTAGAAAGCCTTGCAAAAACATAAAGAATATCGTTCCATTACGTAATAGTAACTTATTCTAGTAATAAGACAGTTAATATTAGTTTTAGTACGAAAAACCAAACAATATTATATTTTATATTATACATACCTACACAACTTAGTATTTTAGATATTTATACATTTACTCGAATAGCTCTCGCTTTGCAAAAACCTTAATTTTAATGCAGCAAAGGCTATATTTAATTGTATTGTTGTACCAAAATATTCCCGATTTTTATAGTATAAGTAATTTCGTGGGCACTGACAGGTTATTTATTATTTTATGTACACAAGGCTATGCTATTTAAATACATAAAAAATGTGTGTTTTTCGTAAAATATCCAGCCATATTGTCGGATTATAGATTAAACTATTTATTTTTAGTTTTATCTCTGATGACACCAGTTTTTTGGTATTTTATTTTAATACATCAATGCAATATTTTCGTGTGTTATAAGATTCTAGTTATAAATGTCCCTATAAAGTCAATTACACATAAATATTGTGTTATAAGCATAATACAGATTATTGTTCTTGGGTTTATGAATTCTGGTGAAATCAGCTCTTGACGAGGTTGTAAATATTATTGAGTTGTTATTCAGACTGATTTGATGTTGTACGAATGAAGTTAGGCTTTTGTTTTTCATGGGGTAGGCTGGTCAAGTAGACGTCTCACCTGATGGTAAGATGGTAAGCAACCGCCCATGGACACTGTAATGCCAGAGGTCTTGCAAGTGCATTGCCAGCCTTTTGAGTGTTAGTGAATTGAGGATTTGGGGATTGGGAAAAATGGGAGGGGAGGAATTGGGCCTCCAGTAACTTCAGTCACGCGGAGAAATACAAAGCATACATTGTTTCACGCCGGTTTTGTGAGGCCGTGGTATCACTCGTTCATGTAAATTATCGTGTACACAAATCAGTCCGATAGAAGCGCTCAGGTACTTGTAAATGTAAGTACTCTATATACTAATAAATACGACAAAATTATAACGTGTTTTATTTCCTTCTTTCATTTAAGATTTAGTCGATGCCGACGCTGATGCGATTTTCGGAAAGCTGTTATGTATGTAAGCGTAAGCCGGTCACCGACTTCAAAAAAGGACATATTACGTTAAACTACTGAGAAAAGCTCTATTAGTTTTAAGTCCCAACGGGACCTTTATTCATGAGTCGACTGCTCTGACGCCGCCAAATCACAAACACTGCTCACGAAGAGCCCCGTTGTGACTTGAGAACTAGTAGATCTTATATCAGTCAGACTGCCTCGTTGGCAGAGTGGTCGCAAGTGTGACTGCCAGGCAAGGGGGCTGGAGTCGTATCCCGGGTCGGGCAAAGTATTACTGGATTCTTTCAATAAATCTCAGTAGTAGCATGGAGTCTCGAAATGTGCTCTGTATATGACAATATAGGCTCACCCAAATGGGACACAACATAAAATAGTGAAAAGTGGGTGTTTCATTGTACAGTGACATTAAGTGCCGTAATGTACACCTCTGCCTACCCCTTCGGGGATAAAAGGCGTGAAGTTATGTTATATGTTTATCAGTCATTTCACAAGCCATTTTGTTCAATTCATTATCGTATTGTAAGTTTTATGTAATACAAATAAAATAACGACAATTCCCATAATTTAATTTTATTGCTAATTACATTGTTGCACACAACAAGTTAAATAAAATCTAAATATATAGTACGAACATTATATAATCTTAACACGATACGTATAAAAACTATAATTCTATAAAATACCAAAATTAATTTAAAGATATATGTATGTAAGTAAAATGTAATGGAAATCTGAATATAATATGTATATGTGAGTTTAGGGAAAGGCCTAACCTTTTATAGCTACTATAGCGGCTTATATAAGGATAGTAACAATAACTATTTTTTATTAATAATGTTAAAATAACTAATTGGCAGTTGACAATGACCACATAATATGGATATGGGCGATTTGTAAGATCGTATTTCTTTAAAAACTGCATAATGTTAACAGTTCGCCAACTGCCATATAATACTAATAAATCAATTATTCAATAATATACGTTGACAAACAAAAGCTTAGACACACTGAATACAAACTTACTGCTTACAAAATAATATTATATCAATCAAAATTCGTATCCTAATGCCAAATCGGTGAGATTTTACGCTTCGAGACACAAATACGTCAGAAATTTAAGAAAAACAATTTGTTTTAAGAATGATAAAACCTGGTAAGAACTATAAATATAGTTGAAAAGAGGTTTTATTTTTGGGGCCAAGCGTAACTAGCGCCTCTAGCGGTTACATGTCGCAACTAAGAACTTTTTCATTGAACACAATACATCTTCATACCGTTTTAAATTAAGGTACTGGGCAGTGAAGTGGGTAGATGTGAAGTCAGTTCACGTTTCGTTCTGCTAACGGTTTCTTAAGAGATGAGGGCGCGGGTAGCTTGGAAGGCTTTTTGCCTGAAACTGACCGTTCTGTGTTCTCTTTGGCGTTTTCTTGTTGCTGTGGAAGAAATTTTATTTATAATTAAAGTGTCACTTGCTACTAGCGATAGTATATGTCAATGTAGACCTTTATCCACTTCTGAGCAAAGGTTTACTTCTTGATGACAAGTTAAGCTAGTTACCCCTTCTATTTATAGTACTTCTTAATCCATTAGTGGACTGTCACAGTCTGTGTTCAAGTTGATGACGTGTTCAATATTTTAAATTAAGAGAACACCGAAACGGTAAATCTACAAAAATAAATTACATATTACTTTTCAAAGAGAAATATCGTAAAGTTTACTCACCCTTCTAATAGTGTAGAGTATGTCAGTCTCGGATGTGCTCTTGACGAGTTTGTCCCGAGTGTGCCGAGTATCCCGAGTGTCCCTGGTATCCGTAGTCCCCCGCGGTTCCGGCGGTGAAGGAGCGAGGAAGTGCGCGGAGTCCTCGGAGGAACACTCCGAGTCACTCACCTGTCGGGTCGATGTTTCTGTGTCGGATTCTACTACCACGCAGTCCTGCCACAGATAAAAATTATTATTATTATTATTTCCAGACACTGTGACATACGTCTCTCAGTCTAATAGCTTGTCATAGTGATCGATTTTAAGTCATTCTAACTAATACCACTTAATGTTTGTTTGCATTAAATAGGCACCGGAAGGGGCATTGAAAACTATTAAAACAATTTCAACATTTCTTTCACTATTGCAAAGTTTACTTTTCACGCAGTAAATATCTGTATTATTTTATATGACATAAGATTACAAAACTGAGTTAACAAAATAAGTTTTGTAATCTTATTTATCTTCAAACTAATGGAGATCAATATACCTTTAGTCTAATTTAATTTAGTTTAGGTATGCTTGTATTGATGCTAGTGTACCAAGCTACTCAGAACTGTGTTTTTAATACATTTCCGACTTTATTTACAAAACGACAAAGTTGAGTGAGTGTAGTTCTATTTGTATATAAGTCAATAGCGAGTACTGACCTCGTCGGAGTCCCGTCGCATGGCGCGGAACCTGGCGAGCAGCCTGTCGTGCGGCGAGGTGGCGGCCAGGGCCCGCGGGTAGCGGTACTCCACGCGCGACGGAGTCTTACCTGGAGTTACACGTACATTATGTTCACATTTTTACATTATTATTCTCTCATGACGTGGATAATTTCTAAGGACAAATTCTAAGCATAATCAGTACATTTACATAATGCTTTCGAAAGCGTCCCGTTCGAGTGTAGAAGTCTACTAAAGAATCCAATTTTTATCAATATGGTTTTAAAATCCAGACAAGGGGGTAACTTTTGAATCCAATTCCGATCGATCGACCCTGGTATTGTGAAATTTCATACTCTTGAGTGGCAGCACTAGCGGCCATTGCATCCGTATTGCGTGGATATTGAATGAACTAAATGGTATTGAGTTTGGCTTTATATTCCGTACTCTGAATGCTATTTTAACAGCTACGATAGGGGTTGGATAGTTTTGACATTGAAATTCAATGAATATATTGAGATTTTATCGATTGAAATTACATTAACATTGAAATTGGTTTCAAAAGTAAGCCCAAGATAAAAGCTCTTTTTATAGTATAAGCCGGTAAACAAACAGACGGATCACCTGATGGTAAGCAATCGACGCCGCCCATGGACACCAGAAACACTACTTAAGGCGTTACAAGTGCGTTACCGGCCTTTTGGGAATTTGAGGATTGTGGATGATACGGGGATTCGAGAGACTCGGGAGGGTGGTAATTGGGTAATTGAGGTTCACAGATATAATTATTTGCAGTAGTTTTATGATGTGTATCAAATATCAATTACTTTCTTTCTCAACTAACACTCTTCTATGATTGAATGAAGCTCTTTTCCATAAGTTCATACAAAAATTGCAATTTTCTGAGAATGGGTTAAGAACATAAGGCTATATTAAAAGTATAGTTACCAGTAGGTGAGTACAGCTTGTACTCATGACTGAGGTACTTGTTCTCAAGCTGTTGGTGCCTGGCTATAGCTTCGTACAGCTGGCCCTGCAGTGTAGAGACTTGTTCCCGAGCGTGTGTACACGTCGTGGCGTGTGTGTTGTGTAGAGAGTGGGTTGTAGAGATCAGTTGTGTAGTGGAGTTGCACACGTCACGTAGTTGTTGTGTTGCGGCGCCAGTGTTGCTCTGTGGAGAGAACATTATTTTATATACTTAGATAATAGACACGGGTACTGCCTAGTAGAGAAAATTGTCTAGTAAACATAACAACATACCACAAAGACTGCCTCTTTGGCCGAGTGATCGCAAGTGCAACGGATCTCGGGTTCGATTGCCAGTCGGGCAAAGTATTACTGGTTTTTTTAAAATCTCAGTGTGAAATGTACCCAGTTTATGGCAATAGGCTCACCCCTATTAAATGGGACTCGTAATATAAATAATGAAAAGTGGGTGTTACATTGTACAGTGGCATTAAGTGCTGTAATGTGCACCTATACCTACCACTTCAGAGATAGACGACGAGATTTTTAGTTAAGAATTTAGAGAAATCAGAAAAGAATTGTCTAGTTAAGTGTTCAAGAAAACAGAAGATTTAGGGTACCTTATCTCAAAACACTTTAACGATGTTTGTAAGTTTGTTGGCAAATATTTACCTCAACGTTGGCGACGAGTTGTTCAGTGATATGTTTGGTAGTGTGGAGCAAGGCCTGCACGGTGTCGCCGACAGACTGCGTCAGTTGCAGACACGACGCCTCGTCCGCTGACACTACCTTCGACACTTCTTCCTGTGATTGTGAGGAAACAACATTATTTTTCATTTCATACATATTTATACTTAACTACCTCGTTGGCCGAGTGGTCGTAAGTGCGACTGCCGGGCAAGGGGTTTCGGGTTCGATTCCCGGGTCGGTCAAAGTATTACTGGGTTTTTAAATATTCTCAGTAGTAGCACGGAGTCTGGAATTGTGCCCGGTATATAGCAATAGGCTCACCCCCTATTACATGGGACTCATAACATAAATAGTGAAAAGTGGGTGTTACATTGCACAGTGGTATAATGTGCACCTGTGCCTACCCCTTCGGGGATAAAAGGCGCGATGTTATGTAGGTTATCCTCCTCCGGTAGCATGCTACAAAACTTTAATTTTGCCCAAGTATACCTGCAATACTGGAGGTATCACAAATACAGTGCCCAACATGTAGAAAACTGTTTAATTACGCTTTCATTTACGCTGTGAAGATGATGACATTGAAAAAATGATGGCACAATTAAGCAGTGGTTTCGGGTATCCTTGTGTTTAGTATTTTGTTGGAAACTGGTACTTTCCTGGCCGAGCTGACCCGTGTAAATGCGGCAAAACAAATTATTTTGAAATATGTAAAAACAGTGATACAAACCTCGACCTGCACCCTGGTCTGGTCGAGCGCTCTGAGCATCTCATTATTGATATGTTCCACGACCTCCACCACATTCTTACTGAATATCTCCATGTCCACGCTGATCGCGTTTGTGCCTGTAAAAGTGGAAAAGTTTAAGAAACTTTAATAATTATGTTCTCACTAGCTAGTCAATGATTCTTTAAATGAATGTTCTATGTTAAGTCAAAGTCAAAGCGTTTATTGCAACTAAGTGTACAGATGATGGTTATAAAATTATTACAGTGCTTACTACTTAGCGGCCTCTTACAGACATTGCAACATTTTTAGTTATGTAGGTATAATCATATCTCTAGACAGAAATTGCAATTTGGTTCGAACATTTAGTTTTTCTACGCTTCTTAAAAAACTGAAGACCTACCTTCTTCAAACTCCTTGCTGTACTTCTTAATATCTTTGACACACTCCTCTCTGCCTTTATCGTTGTCTTCCAATTCCCTTTCTGCCATCTCCATCTCTTCTCTATCCGCTTCCATTTGTATCTGCTCCCACTCTTTGTAACGCTCCATCCTCTCTTGAAGCATTTTCTTCTGTAACTCAATTTCTGTGACCTTCTTGGCCAGTCTGTCTTCTAATGCTTGTTTCTCTGAAGCTACATGTCTTGCTAGTTCTTCCTCTAACAATCTTCTCTTTTCTTCCATCCATTCTTGTAGTCTATGCTCGGTTTGTGCTCTCTCTGTCTCAATGTCTGATAGTTGCTGTGTTAGGAGGTTTTCGAGGCGAACCGATTCTTCTTGCATTTCCTGTAATTGTATTTTATTAGACAACAGTTTTAATTTTTGAAAGAACATTAGTTTGGACTAGTATTACGCAATAGTAGAGCAAACAGAGGTTTTTTTAAACATTGCCCCACACTAGAATTTCCTCCTGCGTCGTGTGTGCGTTTATAAACATACAAGTTCATATAAACCCAGACACAGAACAACAATTAAGTTGCTCCGTGCGGGAAACGAACCCGCGACACGTTGCGTGGCAGCCGGTTGCCTAGCCACCGCACTAACCGTGTTGTCTTGAAAACCGAAACGAATTAGTTTTGCTGTATGTGAGAAAATAGAATAGTATGTAATACGAATTTCGACATTTTTAATAGTTTAGAAACTTTGGTGTTCATATAAAATATAGTACAAAAATGTAATCATACGTACAGCGAGACAAGCCTGTGTCCTGTTGGCCCGCCTTTGTTTGAGTCCCCGCCAGGCGTCCCGGGCAGCTCGCTGGGCCTGCGCGCGCGCCGCCACGTGTGTCTCGGCGCGGGAACTGAACCCGCCGTGTACGCGCTGGAGGGATGATACTCGATCCGATGCTCCGGCGTACTGTGGGGAAGGACATTCGTTTATTTACATGTCAACCATCTTATGAACTTACATATTAATCATAAGTTTTCTTTTATTTCATTAAAATCTTATTATAACTAAGATCTGAGTTTCTTTTGGAGTTTCTTCTTAATATATTCAGATAATAAAACAGGGCTTAAATACATAATTTTTATAATATTGTTATGTGCAAATGCCACTTCGTGCCCCATTAGATGGGTCTCCCACATGACTCACTGTATGTTTATAGAATGTTAGTAAAACCAATGAACTGACCCATTGCTGCACGAAGTGAGCAACATTTCCCTTGACATCGACACTGTGTGCGTGTTGCAGTGAAGACACGAAGTGTTGCAGGAACTCGGCCAGCGCCCGCTGCAGCGCGACGCCGTGGGACGATACTCGGTCGCGTAGGGACGACACGTGGGACGCACTCGACTGGGACAGGGCACACTGACTTTCTGATGTAGCTGCTTTTACCTATAAATTCAAATATCATGAGTTAGTAAACATATCAAAGATAGACAGTTTTCAAAATAATTTAATAAGATTCCTAGATGTCAACAATTACTCTCGCACTATCGAGTCTGTACGCGCGAGAAAGTAACAGAGATCCATGCATCTAATGTACAGTTGTTTCATCATCACAACTTTTCATATTTATATCATTAGTAGGAAATATAATACGACTTAAAACAAACTATAGTACCTCATTAACAGTCTCCATAAACATCTGCACCAAGTTTTCAAGTTGCTGTTTATTTTGTTCCTGTGTCTGAGTGCTGGATGTCGTGTATGAATCTGAAATATACAATTTTTTTATCTTAATTATCATTTACATCGGTGTTATTAGAAAATTGATATAAATAAGCTCATAATGGCAAATAAGTTTAGATTTTTGTCAAAATTTCTTCAACAACATTTCAATATGTAATATTTGATATCAGAAACCAGCAATTCTAGAAATTGTCCAAAAATTACTAATACCAATAATGTCTTATAAGGTTCAGAAAGACCATAAACTAAAAAAATATCTTTAGCTTACCTAAAGCAGCCTGCAAGTTGTTGAATACAGAGTGTACAGTGTCAGCAAAGGTTCTGACTCCAGTACTGATAGAACCTCGTTGTTGCTCCGACTCCTCGCGGTATGTGCGCGTTATCTCCAAGTTAGTCGATTCTACATTTCTGAAAATGGTTGATAGAGAGGTTTAACATTTATACCAAGAAATCATCTTCATGATCATGTCAGCCTGTTGGCGAACAAGGCCTCTGCTAAGAAATTAGCAACCTAGTTAAACCAAGCTTTGTCATAGGTAGTCTTAGTGATGTGTATAAAAAATATTTCTTTGATTTCAATCAGTAAACTTTCAGGTACATCAAGGGTCTAGCTGTTATCAAAATTATTTTTTGATGATCTATCTCATAATTATATTTCCCCAATTTTAAAAATCTCCAACAATCCTCAAATTCCTATCCTCAAAACGTGTAACGTATTGGTGTTGTGGGTGTCAATGGGGGACGCCAATTGCTTACCATCAGCATCAGATGATCCGTCTGCCCGTTTACCGGCTTATACTATAAAAAAATAGCTATTGTGACAGCCTATAAGTGTCCACTGCTGAGTCATGGTGTAATTTCAGACAGAAAAGTAATGTAAATAATAATAAGATTATAGAATAATATAGCTAAGATGTAAGAGAATTTTTTGAGATACTGACTTCCGTTTATCGACAGCATCATGTAGACAGGCGACGTGTGTAGTGGCGACATCTGCCGTGTCGAGTAGTTCCCTTGCCTGCGCCCCTAGAGCCAGCTCCGTGCTGCAGTGGGCCGACACTAGAACTTGTTGCTCCTCACAGGCACGTCGACTGCGGGACAGCGCCTGCACCACCACGTGAACACGTGCTCGTAACGCATCAATATTACAAGGAACACCACGGAACATACATGCTTAGTTGCTGACTGACAAGTTACAAATAACACACAGTTGGTTTTCATGTATATTCTTTGGACAACAGACAGATACACGAGAACCGAAGTTTGTGTAAAAAGCAAGCGATCGAAGTTTCATTCGAAAGTAGCACAAAGCACAAAGACATACGATAACGATAACCAATCTCTATCAGACTAATAAATTAACTTTATGGTTACAAATTACAAAAAATACTATCAAAAAATTAATATTTTTGGCTGTCAAAAATATTACTCACTTTACTAGTAGTAGCCAACTCCTTCTTGGTATTATCAAGCTGTGACACAGTAGTAGCCAGTTCACTGTTCTTGGTTTCCAGAGTCTCATTCAGCTCTTGGAACACAGCTTCCATTTTCTCTTTCTCCTCCTCCATGGCTCTCTTCTTTAGGAGTAGTTCCTGTATCTCTTTACGCTGTTCTTCTTCTTTCAACGTCATTTCCGCGAACGTGTCGCTTGCTAGGTATACACCTGGAAGAAAAATAGGACATTATATTAGTAATTTAATTGAGTATGACGAAGGAAGATCACAATAATTGGGTATTAAGACAAAACTGAAAGTGGATTGAACTTGAAAACGACGCAATCAATCATGTGTTCCTAAATAAATGAAGTTAAAAATTACACCCAGTTTCCGTCAGTTATATTAAGATGAGTACAAACACTGACTGTCACTACCTACATATGTAGTATAAAACAAAGTCGCTATCCGCCGTCTGTCTGTCCCTATTCATGCTTAGATCTTTAAAACTACGCAACGTTTGGTGGTAGGTTTGCACCCGTGCGAAGCCGGGGTTGCTGGTATACATATAAAACCATTCACAAAATAACTACATGGTCGTAAAACAAATATCTATTATTAATACAACAAGTTTAAACTTACCATTCTTATCTCTAGTAGCCTGCAAGTCTCTCTTGAGTCTATCAATCTCCTCAGCATACTCCTTCAAGATAGCCTTCTTGGTCATCTTCTGGTTGACTTCTGGCTTGTTCTGTATATTCTTGGCGCGGTGAGCATACTCCAATGTGCTCATGGTCTCCTCCAAGTCCTTGTGTCCAGGGGAGATGGTCGCAATGATGGAAGTCTTCGTTCGACCTCCCAATGATTCTTGGAGAATACGAGTCAATTTGGACTCCCTGTTATGTGGAAATATTTTGTTGATCAATTTGTTTGTGTTAACGTTTATAATTTCACTTGACTGCCTTATTGATACTTTAGTTTAAACCTTAGGGTTCACAAAAACAGTAATATGAATAAGTTTAAGATACTAAAATGCAAGTATTGTTTCTTTCGATTTTTATCACTTACATCACTTTTTCAAAGACTTTACCATCTCAGAAATTTATTAAAGTTCCACCAAGTAGACAAAAGCTACCTTAAATCTATACATACCTGTAAGGTATATGTGGATGTCTCTCCACAAGTGCAGTGATGACTCTGCCGAGGGTCAACAACGACTGGTTGATATTAACACACTCCCTAGCTCTCTCCTTCTTGGCGGGGTTGTCAGAACCAGCCTTGCTGATATTCTCGGAGCCGGCCAAGTCCACTAAGTTGAGTTTCCCTATCTTCATCAACTCCTCACCTTCAGGGCTGTTCTCCTTCATGTGGACTACGATCGTGAAGACCGTGTGGGAGCGACTGTAGAAGAAAACATGAGTTAGAAGACTTAAAGTTTCATGTAGTGTTTTTTACACTACACTACTAAATATTACATGAATGTAATATTACATGTCTGTTTTTAACAAAGCCTCTATCTACTATGTGCATTTCTACCAAAACATATTATTGTAACATTCAGCTGATATAATTATTTTAAAACAATTGAAACCTGTGATGTACTTATATACAGAATTTTCAAAAATTAGGCGAGTACAGTATATCTACACAATCTAAATAAAACATATTTGATCATGCTTCCTCAGCATAGATTGCAGATACCAACCCAATGTACAAAAGAGACATTAACAAATAATTTCAAATAAAAAAATATGAAGAAGCATAAACAAAACATGGTACATTTATTGTGAGGACTTACAACAAATTTGTTTTGCCATTGGGAAGGCTGCTGCAATGTAAACACAGTACATCAGATTTTGAATAGCAAAAAAGTACTTTTTAGCTATTAAGTACTTCACACGAATGTCTATGAAGATTGCTAATAGTGCTATCTTTACTTTTATCTATATAATATTAGTAGTCATACAGATTTATATGTAACATGATCTTACCTTGATTGTGCATTCATAAGAGTAGATGCAACCCTCTTCCTCTCCTGTCCTTGTGCCATAATCTTGTACACTTCATTCTTGTTGAATACCTGTACAGACACATTAGTTAGTTAGCAGGTACAATTACAATTTTTAACTTGCTATGTAGACGTGGCCATTTTGTACATTGTCGCCATGTATATAAGACAGATCATAGGCAGTTAATTATTTTTTTATACCACGATGGTGGCAAAAAAAAAGCACAAGACCCACCTGATAAGTGGTAAGTGGTTACTGTGGCCTGCAACACATGGGGCATTACATGCACCTTGTCAACCCGTAAACTTTACTCTTTTCTTGAATAACCCAATGAAAACCTTGGCAGGGATTTCATTCCACAAGTGGAGGGTCCGTGGGGATAATTCGTAGAGAATTTTAATCTTAAATGATCTATATACACACTCTTATATTATATGCACACTCACCGTAACCTCCTCCAATCCGTTAACAATATTGGATCCCTTCCTAGTCACATCCTCATAAATCCTGAGTTTAGAATTGTCTTCCGAAGTGGAGAGCAGGTCAAACAGTTCCTCATTGTACAGCTCCAAGTATGACACCCGCACTGTGTACTCCGTGTTGGTCAGACGAAGCTCGTCAAATAGCTGAGAGAGGGCCCGTGGTATTATACCGGCCAGAGGATCCTGGGGAAAGAAAGTAATGTTTTTAATTAAGAAAAAATCATGTCAACATTTCCTAGCTCATTGAAACTGAGAAGATGAATATGAAAATCAGTTGCATTGACAATATTATACTTGCATAGCACACAGGTGAAGAGTACATTAGTGATATTTTAAATATTCTTTATTCTCCTAAGTATCAGGCACCAAATACTTCTATGAATTTTGGTCCAAGATGTGGAATTGGTACTTAAATGTTCTTTATAGTCTTTTGTTGCTTATGTTCCTTAAACACCAATAACTCAACAAAAATGATATTTAGCTGAAATGATAATTACTCACATTCTGCCAGTGTGTATCAGTACCGGTATGCTCTCCAACCATGGTGTGAGTCTTGCCGGTGCCTGTCTGTCCGTACGCGAACACTGTGCAGTTGTAGCCATTGAGGACCTCCTCTATTAGAGGGCTCACCACCTCTTGGTATACTTGAAGCTGGAAGGAAGAAAATGTATTACCTGTATAATTATTTCATGATGAGATAGGTAGTGTTTATTGGGTATTTTAACATACAGTAAGCCTGATACAAAATATTAAGTTACAAGTTACAGTTACAGTTTCATTTAAAGTTTTGTCCATTGCCATAGTTAAGGCCTAAAACTAAATCTAAGTACCTAATTATTAATTTAGAAAAAAACAACAAAATCAAAAAGGAATAAATAGAAAATAATAAAATACCTAGTTCAGTAAATAAGACTACAAAATAGCTATTTATATGTCAATATTTTAAAATTAAAACTACATGAGAATGTGGTTTAGAAAATTAAGTTCAATGGAACTATGATGAAGAAATTGGTATGCTATTGTAGAAAACAGTGTTCAATAGAAAGCTGATCATGATGAAATTCCATTATTGTTGTTAAAACTTTCATAAAAGATAATATGCAACACTTTAACTACACAAACCATCTCATGGTCTCGATTTACACATGAAATCATTCACAAAAACATAAATACAGTCAATACCGCTTACAACGACATCGTTTATAACGACGAATCGAGTACAACAACGAAATTTTGAGGTCCAGTCTATTGTCTTATAAAGCATAAAGATACTGGTTATAGCGACTATTGGTTATAACGATCATAATTAATCGGTCCCTTTGATGTCGTTATGAACTGTTTTGACTGTAAGTATAAAATTAAACATTTAAACAACATACCTGACTAGCATTTGGTGCGAATGCCCGGTCAAAGGTGAACTTCTTGGTGTGTGAGGTCTGTTGTGACTGGCGGACCACCACTTCCCGGTTATTCACAACTTCGATCACACCCAAAGATTTTATGTCCCGTTCACGCTGGTTCAGGGGTCTGTGCGAATCGAAATCACATGAATATTAAACTGTCAAACACCAAGCGGTCACCGGTGACCGCAACCTATTGTTCTTTAATTGTGTCTATAAATACGGTACTCGACGAGTTAAATTGAGTGCTGTCTGCTGATTTGTATTACTTTTGCTGCTAATAATATTAAATAATTTATTTTAAATAACTTATTTTAATTGGCAAAATTAATACTGTTTAAAAAATACAATAGGACATTTTGAGAAATGTTGTGTTCCATCATAGATTATGACATGACAGTAAATGATAGGTTTGAATTGCAGTTACACTATTGATGACCTACATTGCCATACTTCATAACATTATGTGCTACAAAAGGGTCACAGCAATAAAATTCCAGTACAATTTGTCTTAATTAACATCTAGCTTTAAAATAAAGGTGTGCATGTTCATATTCATAATATAAACTTGTGAAATTGAAGATGTGAGACAGATGCTAACCTAATAGTGTCTCTAATTGAGAAATGTGATGTTTCTTTGTGGAATTGTCTCAAGATTAACATGCACACCAAAGATAAAGGCATGTAATATTGCCAAGATAGAGTAATGCAGGTTTAAATACTCAAAATCTATGAGGGAGTTAACATCAGACAATGTTTGTTTGGATAACTCTGGTGAGCCAAAATAAAATTATATATTACACACAATTACATATAGACAATACAAATTGCTACCTCCTGAACTAATATATAGAAAACAAAGTCTAATAATTATCAAATACCACACAATAAACCAATGAGTCATGGCGTTTAACGAAGTCTTCGTTGAGCAGTTACAAATTACAAGCTATAAATACCTTAATCGAATAAACACTTGAATATTTTGATTCTTGTCCTTCCGAATCTTGTCGGTCGTCATTTTGATAGAATACACATAAAATTATTTGCAAAAACTGTTATTTATTTCAATTAAATCACACAAAACGCGTCAATGATTTGAATTTGTCAAAAATTCCGTTGAACGGAAAGCTTCAAACAAAAATTCAAATTCCCTATCATAGACTACGTTTGACAGAAACAGTGGCCTTGATTTTGACACTTGGACACTTGGCTTTTAGCAAGTGCTTTAAGGAAATTATTTTTTAGGTAGGTATTACTTATTAAATGCAAAAGAATAATTAAACGTATTTGTTATAGAAAACAAATTGTAAAGTGGGATATATTAAAAAAATAAGGGCTGAAGAAATTGATAAAGAGACCAAGGTCGTAACTGCATTTATTGTATTAGGTGCAAAGAGTAGGTATAATAAGTATAGGGGAATTTAGGTATAATAATGTTTAAATTTAAATAAATAAAAGAATCAACTTCCTTGAAAGAGGCAATGCAATAATTAAAATAAATTATGTCAACTTTTCAATGACAATTAACTACTTTTGGTTTCTTTCTCGCTAATTTTAAAGAAATAATTAAGTTTTTTGACGCAGAAATATGATGACGTCATAAATGTTGCGATCCAATACAAAATTCTTAGAAAAGTATCGTTTTTGACATTTCAATAAAAGTATTGTTTTGACTACCTGTCAACTACCCTAAGACTCATTCATTTGGGTATTCTTGTGGGAATACACAGATCATTTTGTTAATACGCCTAAGTATGTATGAGTTGCTATGAGTTACTTTACCAATTGTTGATATACGAAAAAGCCTTGATTTTTAAGTATGGTCGAAAGGCTCGTGATAATAATATGCTCGTTGGCGTGAAAAGGGCGAAATTTCGGTTAAATACGAGTATTTACAAGTTAAATACGAGTATTTACCCGTTTTTACACGAATATTTATCGAAACATTGGATATGTACTTAGAATTTACTCAGTACTTTTTTTACATTTTGGTTAATTATACGATAAATGGCCCATCTCTAGAGCTCGCATAATATGTCGAATATTACGAAAGGACATGTGTGATGTTGTGTTAAATTAATTCTAGTTTATGAGAGTGTTACTATACTTTCCATTTCGAAAGAAGAATGAAAGAAATTAATAGCACCCATAGTTTTGTAACTTATTGCTTACACGTTTACATCAGGCACCTTCATAGTTACTAATAAATAAGTAATGAATAAAAAATGAAACTTACATTTGAATATTGATTTTTTTTAAATAATATACTAAAACTGTTAAATGTTGTCAAACGTCGGCCCACCAAATACAAAAAAAAAACTGCAAAATAAACATGGTTTCGTTTCGATAAAATCGAAATCTAAACTTAGTTATTTCTGGTACTATTACTATATGTATGTAATAAAACTATGTACTACAACTATGATTATTTCAGCAAATAAATTATTTATGCGTTATAATGCATTTGGTTTTATGCAAATCAGGTTAGTAATTTAGTTAAATTAAAATAAGATCTAGAGTTTTGAGATGCACACTTTTACATTACTTCAATTCGATGTTAAACTGCGTATTATATTTTTTCATTTTTCCATTATAATTGTAATGTTGTTTGGATATGGATATAGATGGCATTACTAGTGGTAATATTCCTCAGTGCATTTAAAAAACAGACACTAGTTACCTACCTGCTTTGAAACTTTGTTCTAGGCGTGAAGCTAATAAATTGATGTCTACGCAATGAAATTCGTAGATAGTAAACACTTATCCTACAAAAATATGTATGTTTTATGAAAAAAACGATGTACCTACCTAGTAAAAATAGGCAGATGTGCAGCATAATGTACCATTGCTCTCCATTGCATTATTATTATGTAAATAGTTTGTCAGTAAAAAGGTTTTACTTTCTGACCATCGTGTAAATTTTTACGTTTTTTGGTGGATTCTTTCAGTTTCATACACAATGAATGTTTATTTGAAGATAAATGGGTAGCTACTTACCTACTTAACTTTTTATCGTAAGATGAATGCATACAAAACTGAAATTATTTAGCTCGGTAGATACTTACTTAAGTACTTATTATAACAGGAGTTATAGTATAGAGATACAACTAGATATGTACCAAGATAAGCCTACTTCTTAATTAATCTACAAGACTTACGTTGCTTTTCACCTTTCTTTAGGTTTTTTCATTAAGCACCTACGAAGGTACCCCAGACCTAGTGTCTATTTTTTATAAGTGGAAATCAAATAATGAGGAAAAGATAACATAATATTATCATAGATACTGAGGTTTCTAAACCACGCAATATGCAAAATTGTGTTTTACTGAAACAAGAATAGCATACGGCCACCACAACTGATTGCCTACACACAATCTGTTCCCATTACAAATGGACAACCATTATACGCTACCGTTTCTTATTAGAGCTAGCATTCCTTAATCGTGTCTAATAGGAATGAGGCTTTTAAAACATTCCAATAAGTACTTTTTACATATGAACATACAAGAACAGAAAAATAAACTGGATAAATGAGGTACGTCATTATACAGATAGTTTTTGCGTCTGGCAACACTCATTACCTACACCATTTCCTCCCGCGCTTTCTTGAAGAAAATTAAAGAGTCGCCGCATTAATTCTATCCGTATGTCGCAACGTTTTTGCGTCGGTTAGCAGCGTTATGGCGGCCCTCGTTTGCTTTTTGCCCTCGACGAGAGTTGCCGCCGAGCGCTTCCCAGACTCCGCAACGCGCAAAAAGTCGCCTCGTCGCCACCACTGGAATCTACACAAAAACATTAACCCCGCTCAATAACTGGCGACGTCGATGAAATACTATGAGTTCCTTTCAGTTTTTACCGCTCGCGAGCTTTTTCCGCGCACAATTTGCATCGGACGCACGCCGTCGGCCATTTTATAGTTTTTCCCGCGCAAACGATTCGAAATGATGGTCGCGTTCCGAAAATTGCGGTCTGATAAAAAGTTACCGATGAAATTCTTGTTTGGAGAATGGGCGTTTATGTATAATGATATTTTTTATAGCTGCTTTAACCCTAATATTATAAATATTTCATTTCGTATTTAATTTTAACGAGGTGTGTAAAAAGTGTAAAGAGTCGAGTTAATACGAGTTGTTGGTTGCTAAAGTTATACCTATTAAAGTTTTTATGAGTAAAGTTTATTAATGTTATTTCTTACGATTGGGTGGATTGAATTACAATCTACCAATAAGATCTACTTGTACCTAGACCGCTTGATTTATTTCTGGTGTTGCATTCAAAAACATTGTTGCTATAATCAGAATAATTCTTCATTTTTCTGAACTTTTATATTTCTTATAAGCTTTAATTCTTAGAATACTTAATTAGTATTTTTTCTAATAAGAAATTTTATTTTCTTCTAACTTAACCTAACTTAAAACTGGAGACATTAACTAGATATGCAACAACATTTTCCATTACCTACTTGATTACCCCTCTCAAATTAACAAAAATATATTCAAATTATGAAAGTAAGAAAGCATCGATGCGGTTTAAAGCCTGGCGAAGATTTCCTCGCATTTTCGTCATTGCCCTCCCACGGTGGTACGATGGTGACAAGTCAAGACCACTATCTCGCGTAGAAAGCACTAGTGGGTCCACGAATCTTTGCCTAATGTATGAAAATGTTCAGCGAGCAATGTGTGGAATTAGCAGCTAGTATGTAGAGAGGCGAGAGGCCGGTCAGCGTGAGAAAATACTCATTCGAGAGTGTCTTTACTGTACTGAGGGCTATGGAAACAGCGGGATTATTGGCGGAGCGAGCGGCGGATTCAGTAGCGGTTAATTTTATTTTTCGTTATGCCTAATTAATGAACACTGTCAAACCTTTATCTCATGGTGTTTATATCATAAATAGAGCGTCGCATATTATCATTACGTCATCCTTACTTACATGCATCTTTTGTGTACAAAAACCTAATAAAAATTTTACTAGACTTAGGAACCAGAAAATATTATGTATAATGAACTGAATATTTAGCAATATGTTAATAGAATTCTTCAAAGAAACTACACAATGGAAAAAATAATAATAATTTAATCCATAAGTCGTTCGCTGATTTTATGACCTCACTTTTTCTGTAAATAATATCCGACCGACTCTTAAGGCAGTGTAGGTTTTTCCTTGAGCCGGTGAAAGGTTGTCGCAACACTAGATAGCTAGAAATATGTCGATATGATGATAAACTAACGGCAGCTCTGTGGGAAAACTATGGTGCCACCTTTTTGCAGGCTCAATGTGAAAAAGGCTGAATACATGACTTCCTAGAGCATTATGACGACTTGATTCAGAAAATATTACGTTTAGTCTTTGGTCTTAATTTTGTTTTGTAAAGAGTTCGAAATTTAAAAAATAACCATAACCAGATGAAGTGGGTACCACTTCCTGATGTACCGATATTCTGAATGGTATGCTATTATTACAAAATATTAAGTAATTGCAGCATGTAGTAACAATATTTGTTTGATCGCTCTGAACACAAGACATGATGTAATGAGATGCTCTTCGAAATACAAAAAAAGCGACGAGTCTCGAACAAAATTATACACACAGCCCATAAGTCCATAAGAAAATTATATTAACCCATATACCAAAGGCCTGTTAACCCGAAATATAGGATTTTTTGCAACATCATCCGTATACCGTTGTTGGGTCGGCAGTTTTATGTATTTTTTACGGTTTCCAAGAATGGCCCGCTTTCGTATCTCAACCGAATTAAGCTTTTGCAAACTGATTATCATTTTTAATTTGATACCGACACGAAACATTCGGTGCTGTTTTTTCTAGCGGGAAGTTTACTGAATTGTTTAGCCTTTATCTACCTGTCCGATTTTTGGGGTCGATAGGCAGGCTTTTTGTTTAACTTAGGTATTCTATCACGATATAGGATAGATGCAACCTATTATGATAAAGGATGTTTGCAAGGAACAGAGGTCAATAAAAAATATTTTCGCTTCTGATAGACCTATTCTTGAAGGCTTTCTAAACATCATGCATGGCACTACAAGTGCATGTGCTGATCATGTACAATTAAATGTGTTGGGCATTTAAGACTTTGCCTCTAAGTTAATATTCAGAAACTGAATGGTGTTTAAAATTCAGAAGACTATTCATTCTGTTTAGATAATACGTACTTTATTGATGGATGACTGTTAAGGAAGCGAAAGAGGTATGTAAGAAACGTAGCAATTGGCGTTCCATAGTCTCTGCCTACCCCCATGAGACACAGGCGTGACGTAATGTACATATGTATGTATGAAGTTTCTTAATTTTTACATAGATAGACTTGATCCTATTGCAAGTTCATCAAATAGGGTTTATATTAAAACTTGTGCGAGACATACTAAATTAAACAGTCGCCGCGTCGCGGGTCGCGAAATGCTGCTCATGAATATGCGCCTCTAGCATGGCTTGAAACTAGTCGAGTTCCTCGTCAAAAGATTACGTAAAGAAGCCGAAGAACATAACAATTAAAATGATTTATTGTTTATTTTAGCCATGGTCCTCCCACTGCAGGGCAAGGGTCTCCTTATACCCTCCTTCCACTCGTCTCTTCTTAAAGCTTTCTGCGTCCAATCCTTTACATATATTATTATTTCATATAAGTATAATTAAATTAGGATGCCTCGCTGGCCGAGTGGTCGCCAGTGCGACTGCCGGGCAAGGGGTCTCGGGTTCGATTCCCTGGTCGGGCAAAGTATTACTGGGTTTTAAAAAAAATCTCAGTAGTAGCACAGAGTCTGGAATTGTGCCTGGTATATGGCAATAGGCTCACCCCTTATTACATGGGAATGGGACTCATAACATAAATAGTGAAAAGTGGGTGTTACATTGTAGGTACAGTGGCATAATGTGCACTTCTGCCTACCCCTTCGGGGATAAAAGGCGTGATGTTATGTTATGTTAAATTAGGGTTTTGTTTTCATCACACATTATCAAAAACTTCCACTTTTTATAAACTCAGTATCGATTGTCTTTGCCGAGTGTTGCCAGCCCTAAGCCCTTCGCTTTCCCTTGCTTTCACTATTATTATCACGTTGGCTCCAAACGTATTTGCATATTGTGAATTCCATTGTCTAATGATGTGTTCCCCAGGCTCCCCTTGCTATGTATTATTATTTAGCTTTGAGGTATTTACGATAACTTAAGATTCTCGTAGCGATAAATTTATTTCTTATACATTTGTTGAAGTTTCAATGTTTAAAATGTATTTTTTACAACAATAATGGGATATAATTCTTTGGTAAACATAACATAACATCACGCCTTTTATCCCCGAAGGGGTAGGTAGAGGTGCACACAGAAGTAACACACACTTTTCACTATTTATGTTATGAGTCCCATGTAATAGGGGGTGAGCCTATTGCCATATACCGGGCACACTTCCAGACTCCGTGCTACTACTGAGATTTTTTTTACGCTCAGCAGTCTAAGCAGTTTGCATTATAGACTGTTGATGTGTGTGCTGTGTTAGTAGGCATAATATGCCCCATAACACTCAATACTCTCAACTGGCTAAAATTGGTTCAACTCAATTTTCATACCCTATCATCAAACCAGGGTACGATAATTAAAAATATAATTAGTCCGTAATGAAAAAATATTAGACACGGATTTTTTTTATATTTTGTCGTATTTTAAAACAATACTTAGATAAAACGAATCAAAGTTTAGGAGTGGGGGCTAAAACGTCATTTCCACGTATAAAATGTAAGTCCATAGAAGTGACGTCACGCGACATTTCAAATCATTATTACGTCGAAAGTATGCGCTTTTGTAAGAAAATAAAAAATACGTGTCTAATGATATAAAATAATCGACCAGACGGACATTAAAATAAAAATTAGGCATCTACCCTATTATTCTAGTTACGTTTACAAAACACCGTTTAGATGTTTCCTAAATAAATTGATGCGAATGTACTATACAACATCAAATGAAATACAGGCAGATGATTCCCAAAACACCGAACACAATTCTGTTTACATAATACGTACTTTATTGATGACTGAAGAAAGCGAAAGAGGTATGTAAGAATGGTAGTAATAGGCGTTCCAAAGTCTCTGCCTATCCCTGTGGGACACAGGCGTGAGGTAATGTATGTATGGAATCCATACATACTCTATACTATGGAATTTCTTGATTTTTACATAGATAGACTTGGTCCTATTGCAAGTTCATCAAATAGGGTTTATATTCAAACTTGCGTGAGACACTAAATTAAACAGTCGCCGCGTCGTGTGTCGCGAAATGCTGCTCATGAATATGAGCCTCTAGCATGGCTTGAAACTAGTCGAGTTCCTCGTCAAAAGATTGCGTAAAGAAGCCAAAGAACATAACAATTAAAATTATTATTAGCCAGAACACAATTGAAATCTTCAAAAATTCTTGCACTCAATTACCAACAGACGTTAATGAGCACTGTTTTTCTGTATTTACCTCAAAAGCCAAGTCTGTGGATAAAGCCGTCGTATTATGTCGAAACTGAGAATTTTATAAATAACTTGTTTCCGTCCGTTCGTCCGTGTGTCCGTTGATTTACACAGCTTGCGTAGGGAAGTGCCCTCAAAATGTTATGTGCTGGGTTTTTTATAGTTTTTATATAACCGTTCGTGGGTTAGACCCTAACCCTTTTGTCGACTGCGGGTGGTAGCCTGAGGGCACTATGTTCGGCTAAATTTAAGAAATCAAACTATGTTATAAACTCCTTGGTTTCTGTCTCAGCGAAGTTGTCTTAATGATTTAGACGATTTACGTAATGTAATCGTTGTTCCCGGTTTTTTGCTTTTCAATAGCTTTTTAACCTAGGTGTATTGTAATATTACCACAGTCATTTTTTGATATGGTCGAAATTCCAGCCCCTACTATTCTGTAACCGAGTTAATAGAACTTTGCTCGAACGCAATCGAACTCGAGATTTCGCGTTCGACAGTCGCGCTTGTGAATTCTAGGGCAGTCTTCTGAAATATTTACAAGATAAATATTGTGTAACTCGTATTGTGTAACAACAGAGATGTCATCTTGATTGTCTTGTTAGATCTATTTAAGAAAAACAAATTGTCTCAGTATGGAGAGAAGTACCTAATAAAACTTTATCATTTACATTTCTCATTAGGAAATACTTAATGGATCTTCCACAATGACGACATCGCCGGCACACCTCACATCTTCGCCTCTCACAAAATCCTTTGCATTCCTCGCGAGCTTCAGCTTTCCAAGGAAGGCAACTACTTATACGGGTAACTAATCAAACTAATTGACATCTAATTTGTAGCGAACTAATCTTCCTTATTTTCTTTAGCAGCTATGGCCAGCCAGTGGTTTTAATCACACCAGACTCGCCATGACCTAAAATTCAAACTTAGCGCGATCGATAAGAACAAGACTGATTTAAAAAAACACAATAATGATCACCCGTCGACCCTCAAGCCGTACCCTTTCGGCCCCTTCCCCGCACACTACTGCACTACGAACTTAACGCACACACTTACAGAATTTGAGGCCTTTATGTTTTTTTACATAAGCCGAGGGCAAGGAAAGCGTGGGGCTACGTGGAGGGGTCGCGTGGGGTGCTGGGCGGGGCGATGCAGCTGCACCAGGGCTCCGGCGGCGGCCGCCAGTCGAGGCGTGCGCGTCATCACGACACGTCACGGCTACCCTTACAATACAAATTCACCGCCAAAATCGGAGTTCGTCACGACATTGTTCCAAATATAAACTTTCTTAATTTCAAACTGTGATACCTAGCCTTTTTGTCTATAAAAAAAAAATGTAAAAATTTTTTTTCTAAAAAGTTGCCAATATTTTTGTGAAGTTTTCGAATTGGCGGGTGTCGGGTTGATGTGTGCGAGCGAGAGGTGTGATATGGAAAGCCCCGGCGAGGAAACGGGACGGGTAGTTCCTCCCGCACCGCACACCGCCGCCGCTCCTCAGCCCAACAATGGCTCCAATAAGATCATCGGACGAAATGTGAATGGGACCAGTAAGTCACGCAGTGCAATTAATTTCTTAATGTTTAATTTTTTTTCGCTGAATTTTAAACGTCGTCGGCACCTTTCATTGTATTTATGAACTTGCATGACGTGGCCGCAATTTATATGGCGGTGCTGATATTACTCTTAATTTTAAAGAGTAAAAAAATTTGCGTTAACATCAACTTGGAGCTGTTTACGTGTTTGTATTGACAAACACATCGCGTAATACGTACTGCTTTTGCGTAAACATTATTACGTATTTTTATTTATACAAACTAAGTGTTCAGATAATTCATACGATATTTATATTCCCTTGAAAAAATACGCTTATGAAAACTCTTAAATAAAAAACTTTTAATAAATATTATTAGGTAGACCAAGTGTTAACTTTACGTCACGATAATAATTAACAGCATTCAGTACTTAATAGACACGAAGTTATAAAATATAATATACATAAACATAGTAAAACATTGAAATTCATTAAAACCCTACGTGGGACCGATTTTTCAATGGTCAGTTATTTTTTATCTGTAGAATAAAATTGACATTTGACAGGTTTTAGTAAGAATTGTCAAATATTCAATGTTATTCCATAGATAAAATGTATCTGACATTGGAAAAATAGACCCTTACCTGTGTTTGTGAACGCACCCACGTTACAGGAAAAAATCCTGATGCGGGGCAATGTTTAAAAAATAAAATATATACACACCTCCTACATAATATTACAGCTATGTATAATATAAATAATGACATCTACAGGAAAACATAACCATTAAATTTTTAAATTATTTGTTTATAGCTCCGTAGGTATAGGGCAGGCGTAGAGAAGTATGAAAAGTATTAATCATAGCATTTGAATGTATTTTATCCAAGAAGAGGTAGGCAGAGGTGCACATTGCGGAACTTAATGCCATTGTACAATGTAACATTTATGTTATGAGTCGTTACACCACAATTGCAGACTCCGTGCTACTGTGAAGATTTGTTTTTAAAAACTCAATAATATTTTGCACGACCCGGGTATTGCACCCGTGACCATCATGGAGTGTTGATGGCCCGATATTGCTGGACTATAAACATCTACTTAAGAGAGTTATGCTATAATTCTCCATAATCGGCAGGCGGGAAAGTAAAGACTAAAGACACTTCTTTAAACGCAATACAATAATCATACATACATACATGTATACATAACTTCACGCTTGTCTCCCATGGGGATAGGCAGAGACTAGGGAACGCACATTACTACGATACCTATATATCTCTTTCGCTTCATCAATAGTCATCAATCTTTTCATACAATAATCTTAAAAGTAAAATTACGCTCCTAACCAGAAAATACGATATCTTAAATAATACAATCATGTCAGGCCTAATTAAAACGAGTCACAAGTTCTAAGAGAGTATACCTTTCTATGAAACATAAGTAAGTAAGTACCTACCTAAGTACAATTGGTTGCAGAAGTAGTCAGTTTTTCTTAGTTTCCCACTGTGAGCTGAGTTTTTCCACAATTTCCACGCTTTTTCCTACATCCATGCAACTGGACGTTTTTGTCCGACCACTGTAGATGTATTGTTGTTCGACTGGTTTTGATACTTGTGGCTTTGAACCAACATTATCGTGTTGCAATTGTTTTATAATAATATATGTTTTATGATATATAATTTATAAATAGTTTTAGTGTATTTTATGTTGTACATAATAATTTTTTTGCTTAATTCTAAAAGTTAGCTGCTAAGGTCTTCTGTATTTTTGAATAGAAATAAAAGTCATTTTCATATCTTACATGTGATACGAATAAGACTTTTCGTACTCTCATCTTGTATTTTAGTCATATATTAACACCTTTTAGAATATAATTCCCAATTAAGAATAATCTTAAAATATTTTTTACGTAAATACCAGTAAAATGGTAAGTACAATCTTGCAACTCAAACCAATAAATTTCCTCTTTCATTCCTTATACGGTAATATAATTATAGTAACAGACGTAATCCATAAACACATTCTAAAACGGCAAACTAGTCCTACGAGGCAATTATAAAATAACCTCATATTAAGTTCATAATAAGTTATTTCTCGTTAAATTTTAGTAATTAAGGAATGATCATTGGCTTCATATCTAGTTTTCATAACACAGTTCTTAATTAAGAAAATATTCTGGATTACTTCAACGTGTTTCATTTCATAGCTATAAAAATATTTTGCTCTGAAATTGGTAACAATTATAATTCTAACTTTAACCGATTTACTTATTTTTCTAATGCGTAGAGACTTTTCCACAAGAAACAAATATTTGTAGGACTTAGGTTTAATAGTGTTTCTAAGTCAAGTTGTGTAACAAGTAAAACGCTTCACTTAAAACAAACAATTCCACACAATAATAATTATAATTTAAAAAATGAGCCACTTCTGTTCCATTACTGAATTTTCTAAGATTGCTTCAGCGGTTCAACAAATAAAATAAATTTACTTGCGTAGGTCACCACCACCACAGATACCTAATCTGTGCCCACCGTAAAGCTCATTTTAAAATTAGAAACATCTAGCACTTCAAATTTCTATCACACTAATATTATAACTGTGAAAGTTTCTTTGTTTAGATCTTTTTCCGTTCACGCTGAAAATACGGAACGGATTTTGATGAAATTTTGTATACAGGCAGGGTATGGGCTGACTTAGTTGATAGGATACTTTTTATTCCGAGTAAATGTTCTCACTTCTACGACGACGAAGTCGCGGGCAACAGCTAATAGCAATAGACAATTACCAAAACCACAACTGTCAAATCTGACAGCTCTATAATTCAAAAAGTACTAAGATTATAAAGCCGCGCTATACCCATCAAGAAGCGAGGCCGAGACAAAAACCTTTATCCCAAGACAAACCGACGCCAGGCTTGGCTCAGAAAAACGCAAATTACTAGCAGCGGGTACGATTCCCATCGCGTGCGTCTTACAGTATCAAACCTTTTTGTCACATACTCATTGCAAATGATATTAAAAAAAAATACATTTATTGTTATGTTCAGTTGAGAAGTTCTTTAATGTGACTTGTCTTTGTTTGTTTTTTTTTTATTATTTGGTCCTTGTTATGATACTTCTACTAGTAATGTCATAAGTGATGTATAGTCATAATTTTTTACTTTTCTTTCAGGATAATACGGAACATTAATTATGTTTAAGGAATTTGGTGGTAAAACGTTCTGTATTCGCCATAATTTCACATTTACTTAACGTTTAATTATTTATATTTATTATTTTTCTCCAACTTTAATCCGAGAATAAAAACAAGAATTCATTTTCTCCGCAAAGTAGGTATAAAGTACAAAATAACTTTTTGAGCTCCGCGTAGCTTACTTACGATGCGCTAAAAAAGGACATTATGCAAAAATGGTTTCCATAAAAATGCAACTGGAATAAAAACAAATCTTGAGTGAATTTAATCCGTTGGTAATAAAATATAACTATATCTACCGTGTGCCTGAAAAACTAAGCGAAATGAAACAAAATGGTTGCCTTGGAAAAAATGCGAGAGCTTATTCCTTTGTTGCGGTTCTGTAGCAATGTTTAAATTATTGTTATCCAGTATTCACTGGTATGGAATGAAAAATAGGTTATATTTTAACTTTTCTTACTTGAAGCGTGTAGGCCAAATTACTTTTCGTTTTTAAAAACGTTGCCCTACACTATAATATTCTCATGTGTCGTGGGTGCGTTTACAGACATACAAGTTCACATACACACACAGAGCCGGAACAGCAATTTGTGGATCACACAAATAGTTGCTCCGTGCGGGAATCGAACCTGCAACACGTTGCGCGGCAGCCAGTTGCCCAGCTACCGCATCACCCGTGCCGTCATTTTATTAAGTACTACATATGTACTGTATATGTATATGTAGGTGTAAGGGACCACACTATTGCTTCACATCTACTATACTTTTATATTATTACCAATTCTTCGTCATTTCTTGGTGATCTAAGTGTGTTTTTTTTATAGATATTCATCATATTTTTCTAATGAATTTACTATAGGTAGCTTATTTATTTAATAATTTATGTACATACAAACAGCACAGAGGACAACACGTCATATATAAAATTCTAGTGACCCGCCCCGGCTTCGCACTTGTGCAATATGCATGTATTATACATAAAAACCTTCCTTGAGAATCACTCTATCTATTTAAAAAAACCGCATCAAAATCATGACAGACAGACGGCGGATAACGACTTTATTTTATACTATGTAGTGATAATGACGAGTACAAAGGTGCTACTTATTCGTGTTGGAATTTCTTCCATTGGACCTGAGACAGGAAATGTAATAAAACATGAGACACAGTGTGTAACAGAAGAGAAAAAAAATGACGTTAAGAAATATGTATAAAAAAATTACTAAAACTAAAACCTTTTAGTGTAGTAACTACATATTTTAGAACTAAATTAAGTAAAATCGCGGGGCGACGTCGCGCGCTCACTCAGTGAGCTACGCGACGTCGCCCCGACCGCGCACGCTGCTCATGATGGAGAACCCCTCTGTGGTTCGAAACCAGTAGAGCTTTTCTCAGTATATCCACGTGAGTAACCCGCGATTTTACTTAATTTAGTATGTGCCTTTTGAATACAGTGTACCTTCTAATCCAATAACCATATTCTTTAACAAAGCGCAGTTACTTAGTAAAGGTATAATATCCGTCCATGTCCGCGGGCCCCTATTAAGGCGCGGTGCAATACTTTTATTTTTAGCGAAGTTTTTTCCGCGGGCAGACGGGCCGGAGCCACTCTTTGCCTTGCTAACTAATGTGTAATACTTAAGGGGAAGTTCTTACTACTAAACTATTATAAACTAAATAATGTGTTGCAAAAAAGAGGCTAGGTTTTTACTAATACCGATAAATTCCTAACTTGGGCATTTTGCATTTTTTTTATACGTTACGAATCTAAACTGTATTTTAGGCGATTTTAAATACAAGATTAAGGGTTCACAAGCCGATCAT